ACCCTCTCCATTTCCTTTCCCATCCCAACTATAGTTTTACAACTCAAAATTACCACTTGGCTACTTAGATCTTTGCTCCTGAGTATATGGCTTATGTTTAAAACTATAATTAAAAATTATGGGTTTGAAAGGGAAACTTGAACTTCTGCCTGCAAATCATTTCCTAAGGTAGAGTATCCATCATGATCTCTTTCAAATCCACTATACCCCTATATACATTTCCTCTCACAAAAGACCAATCTCCATTGTACTCAAAATTGGCAGAAATCTTACTATTGTACTCAAAATTGGCAGAAATCTTACTATTTCAGAGAAGGATCAATATTATCCGGGGAATTCTCTGAAGGTGATACGTTATTGGTTTCAGGTTGAACAATCAAAGGCAACTCCTGGTTCTGCCTATCGATCGGAGCATCTAGAGGCTCATTAAACTGAGCTTGTTCAGATTGTGATGCTGCATTACCAGCAGGAACCCTCCCTGGTAAGCCATTGGATCCACTCCGGCCAGACATCATTGCACGTACGCCCGGAGATGGTGAATTGTTTGGTGGGCATATCCAGTCGAAATTGCAATGTGTAGGGCCATTGCTGCGACTGCAAGATAAACAAATTGAAGTGTCAAAGAGATAAATTAGGAAATCATAATGCTTGTAGCTAAAACTTTCTAATAAGTTGTTCAAAGTTTAATAAAAAGCTTACCCAGGCTCGAGAATAACCGGCTCAAGAAATGACTCAATATTCACAACACCATCAGAGTGACCTGGAGTTGATCTTGGAGTTGAAGATACAACTCTGGTCAGAGGATGATTTGCAGTTGCAAAGTAATTGAACATTGAATTGAAGGCTGGGGGCGGCGGTGGTTGATTCCATTGGCAATTTAATTGACGGATGATGTCAAAGGCAGAGACCTGATGATATAGTGTCCCATCATCAGTAGCCAAGACAGCAGGCCGTGAAAACGCTTGATAAACTGTGCATCATTAACACACATAAGTATTTCAAAAGAACAATCTCTCAATTCCCTCATAACCAATACAAACCAAAAAAATAAAAATAAAAAACCACAGATGACTTACATAGAGCTCTTATTGGTTCCGTCAACCTGTAAAGTATGAATGAGACATCAATATGCTATTTGATGAGTGATTTTCTATTTAAATTATCTAAAAGTAGGGAAGTGATACAAATCAAAGCTGATTTTTGGCTTTACAATATCTCACATTTCAATTAATGTTTGCCGCGCAACTATTATCTCAAAATTGTCAAATTTTAAAAAGCATAATGAATAATACTTATTTTTTTTTTTTTGGTACATATGAATAATACTTATTAATTCCATATTAAAGCACATACAGGAGTAATGGAGCCCTAGAGCTCACATAATAATCAACATCTGAAGGGTGAAACTCAATGGAGCATAAAGTAGAACGCAAATTTTCTTGAATGGCAATTAAAATACTCAAATTCGAGAGGCACAAAATTTGAGACACAGAAATTTTCAATTTTTAACAGTATTTCAACCATGGATCATACTAAAAGATAACAAAAGAATTTGCATTGAAAGCTTGCTTACCCTTCTTGAACAGAAAACAAATCCCATTCATCAAATTCGAATTCATCCTCGTCCTGCAAACATCCATAACGATATATATCAGAATATGCAGTAACCAATCATCAAGAACATAAAACCAACTAAACAAGCATGAAATAAAAAACCAAATTGCTAAATCGAGCTACGGAATTAATGGAAACCTACAGTGTCAGAATCAAGGTCCTCAGATGCTGCTTGATCAGCTCTTTCTCTGGGGATAACCCAAGTGCCATTTTCAGTGGCTCGACATAAGGGGCATCGCATTTCACCAAAAGAATTAAATGTCGAGCCAATGCAGTCTGATAAAGAAAAACGAAATATGAAACAGATCCATAGAAGAAAAAAAATATTGTCTTAACTGACAGAATCATGTCAATAATAGAATTCACACTATGATCAAGAAACACACATGACATGGAATCATACTAAGGATATCACGAAATTGATTTTTTTAACATTAATTGAATGATTGCAAAATCTTGTTAATAAATAAGAAAAATATACACTTTGATAGACAATCACGCCAAAGATAGGATAACTCTCCCTCACCCAATATAAAAGGTGCTGCAGGTGACATAGAAACTCACCAAGATGGAACTTGTGAGAGCATTGGAGGGTTACAAGGGTTCTTTTACAGCTTGTAGAAAGCTCATCCCAACAAATGGGACAATTATCAACCGAAGAGGACGGTGCTGCCGGTGAAGCTGGTGTTGCTGCCATGGTATGATTCTAACCGTACTCTGAAAAAGCCTAGATTTTAGAATGGATGGGGAATGGAACAGGGAGAAGGGGATTATAAAGAAAACCTTGCGGCGATTGCCCCTCACCATTTCTGGAAATGTGGCTGCTGGTTGGGTAGCCAATTCCCTGAAAAGGAAGGTTTTCAAAAACAAGGAAACCGTATCCAATATCCCGCGCCTCTTCGGTGTATGCCGGGAAGAAAATGGACCTGGGCGTAAGAAGATTGGAATGCGTCCCACAATTTCAGGATATGAAAAATTTTCTATGCATTATCTGATTGACACGTGTTGGAACTTTTTTAATCGTTGGATTTTCATTGGCTGTTGGCATTTTAAAAAAATTTTAAACGAATGACGCGGCTTGAGACGACGGATACATATTTTGGTACACGACGGTCCACGATCTATGTTCCATTTTTTACCAACAATTTTTTTTTTCTTTATTTGCTTCATCCATACCATATTTCTTCCTTAAAATTAAGTAATTAATTTATTAAAAAAGATATTTTTCAAAAATCAGAATGGTTTGGTAATTAGAATATTAGAAATAATAATAAAAAATTTAAATATAAAATTTAATAAAAATATTTAAATAGTTTTATAAATATTAATTTTAATATTTTATTTTTTGAGATATCTTTATTTTTTCTATAATAAAAAAATATATTTTTTATTTTAGCATTGATTCTACAGTCCTATTCATGTGAGAAAAAAAAAGTAGCTTTGTTTTCTGTTCCTCATATATATTTTTATATATAAAAAGATAGATATTCATTATTTTTTAAAGAAGAAGCATGAATGAATGCTAAAAAGGGGAAAAAAATATATATACAACAAACATGAATAAAGCAAATAAAGAATTATCTTCGATTTCTGATCAGCTATTGTATAGAACATGATTTGTGTACCATGGTAGCCGCCCCAGCTTCTCTAGTAGCATCATAAGTTGTCGTCGTCCTTTGTCAATTGTGCCATTTATTTGGAGGAGCTTTATCGACTACTGTGGAAGGACTCTTGTAACCCTTCATATCTCTAATTTTAGCTTCGACTTTTGAGTTTTGACACTGTAATAACAAGTTGTGACAATCTTTCACTATCCCCCTTTTATTTAAAAGTTTATTTAAAAAAAAAAAATTTCAGGTTGTATTATTATTATTATTATTTCTGAAATTTAGGCTGTATTATTATTGTTATTATTATTAAATTAAGTTTGTTTCTTAACATCTTATAAGTTTTTTCAACTGAACTAAAATTTATTCATAATATCTTTTCATGTAACATTTACACAATTAAAAAAAATCTTAACATGTGTAATGTCTATTAATATAATAGTTTAAAACTAATAATCAGTAATTTTATCTAATTTGACAATGAGTAATAATAATTATTTATTAATATAAATTAAAATTCTTATTTATTGAATTAAATAAAACTATTAACCAATAACTTTAAAATGCTATACCAAATAGTTCTATGAAGCCTGAAAACCATACTTAATATGCTATCAATATTAAACACAAACGGCAACAATAAAAAATAAGAGTTGATCAAAGCAACATCATATCAATATTACCAAAAAAAATAAGTAATGAAATCTGTCCCACAACACTTCTAAAGAGATTATTACTATCTACATGCTCTAATGGTCAAGATGTTTTTACTCTTGGTCTAATTAGCACAATTTTCATCAATGCAGGTTCATTTGAGCATACACTTAGTGCGCTCATATTTATATATGCTGATAGATATTTATGCGTGTTTCCTATGTTAAGCCACCAAAAAATTCGTACATAGTTTATTAATGTTATGCTTGTTAACTAAGAGATGATTTGTCTAAATGAACAATCAACTTCTTCATCAATTCCAAAAACAAGTTCTCACATTCTTCTTGAATACTTGCTTCATTATCTGTTATTAAACGTGGAACAGAATATGCAACCACTCAGCAGTCGTACAGTTTCATCTGAAAATATCCTGAAAGTCTGCAGGGTTAAGCAACAAAGTAAGTATTTGAACTAACAAGCCAAAGTGCAAGTAACTACTACCATACAGGAGACAATATTCCATTTAAGAGAAGTTACAATGGTAATTTCAGGAAAGATAAGAAGAACAGGGAGGGCAGGAGAGACTGGTTCTTTTTACATGTAACAGCTTCATTTTAAAATTTAGTAGGCAATTTTCTATATTCAAGAGAGAAGATTAGCCTAGCCAAAATAAGAAAAAGAATATATTTGATAAGGATAATGATTGATATATTTTTCAGTTTAATACCTACATAACATATTTATTAATAAATTATTATTTTTAAAGTTGAATTCAAGAGGATAAGCTTTTAATTACCTTTTAGTGACTGATGAAAGTTAGAGAAAATGTTAAACTAAAAGATATATCAATTATTATTTTTTATTTGATAATATATTCCTATAAATTAGGAACGCAGAAAAATAGACTTACAATACAACTTGAAACATTTTGACAAATATGTAAAAATGTGCAAAACTGCAAATTCTTTATGTGCATCATAAAAAATAAAACCCCCACAGAATAATGAACATTCCATAAACATTTCAAGCAGTTAGTTGTAGCAAAAGAAATATTACTACCAAAGGTTGGGCTGTTGTAGGCCTCTGAAAAGAAAAATAGATTTCTTCAGCATTTGTATTCTACATACAAATATATGAGGCACCAGCATCACAAATCAATTCGGTGTCATATACCATCTAAATAAGTTACTAGGCAATATTACTTGAATAAGGAAACTTCAGATAATTCATAGAAGATAGAAGTTAATTAATCTCTGAGAGTGCTGAAATAGCAGCAAGTGGATCCAAGCAAGCCTTTCCAATTGTCTTGAGAGCAAATCCATCTAAAGAACTGCACAAAAATGGCTATCACTTGGTAACCAGAAGGGGTGCAGCCTTCCTAATTAACAGCTGCCTTCTCATCCATACACCTCTTTCTCAGAATATCATATTTATCCCATCCTCTGGCTTCTGATCCTTAACTTCATCTAACCCCAATGCTTCCTTTCAAAACTGCCTTATTCCTGTTATCACCAGACAAAAGCTCCATTATTTAAGCAAAGTTTGATAGGGCTTAAGTACGAATACCAGCATTTGAGTCCCTTAATCCCTTAGAGCCTCTACTTCACCACCCTTGTCCATCCCCAGCGGATCATCCATTGAAGTCTTCAGAGCTGCAATAAGATCAAAAGCTAACAGCCTAAGATTAGCCTGTCCCTTCATTTATCTTCACAACATACTCACATGTCTGGTCCAATTTGTTTTGTGGATCTTTCTCTAACAGACGGCTTGATTTGCCCTCCTCTTGTGCAGGCCAGGGGATCTAATACTTTTTGAATATTAGGGACTACTTCTTAATATCCACAAAGTTGGTTATATGAATAAATAATTAAGAAGGGAGGGAGTATGTGAATTTCAACAATAAATAGAATAACATTCTTTGCATTTAATTAATTCACATGTCTTCTTAATATTTTTCCTGTGGAGTTTCCCATTTAAAAGATCATTGAGAAGGTTTCTCCCATGGCTATTGCTGCTCTTCCGCTTCCTACGTCGCATTCTGCATGAGGCTTCAAATTCAAAGCTTCCATTGAAAATGATCTTCGCTTAAATTCTTTGAATTTTTTTGGCATTCCACTTAAAAGATAGCATATCTTTTTTTAGTAGTATTATTTTTTTAAAACTAGAAAAATCCATCGAATGAGTCAAATAAGACATGAAATTTTCTATCTTTATTACTAGTATTACTAAAGTAAAACACAATGAAAATTGATTACAGAGAAGACAATGCAAGAGCATACAAACTAATAACATGCCTAGAGCTCTTTTTTTTCTTTTTCTTTTTTTAAAGTTACATAATGAGAGACAGCTTCTCTATTTCCTTTTTCATTCCACCAAGAAGTCTACAACCTGAGATTAATATTAAGCTACTTTGATAGTTTGCCCCTGAGTATATGGTCAAGTTTAAAACCATAACTGAAATTATGGGTTTGAAAGGGAAACTTCTACATGCAAATCATTTCTTGAAGGTAGAGTTTCCATCCTGTTCTCTTTCAAACCCACTATTCCCCTGTATACATTCCTCTCACAAAAGACTCATCTCCATTTTAGTAAAAAATGGCTAAAATCTTACAATTTCAGAGAAGGATCAATGTCATCCGGGGAATTCTCAGAAGGGGAAATGTTATTGGTTTCATGTTGAACAATTATAGGCAGTTCTTGGTGTTGCCTGTCGACTGGAGCATTAGAAGGCACGTTGAACTGAGTTTGTTCAGATTGCAATGCTGTATTATCAGTTGGAATCGTCTCTGATAAGCCATTGGATCCACTCCGGCTAGACATCATTGCATGCACACCTGGAGATGGTGAATTGATAGGCGGGCACGTCCAGTCAAAATTGCAAGGTGTAGGGCCATTACTCCGACTGCAAGATAAACAAATTGAAGTGTCAAAAAGATCAATTAGGAAATCATAATGCTTACAGATGAAATTTTCTAACAAGTTGTTCAAAGTTTATTAAAAAGTTTACCCAGGCTCGAGAATAACCGGCTCAATAAATGATTCAATATTCACAACACCCTGAGAACGACCTGGAGATGTTCTCAAGGTTGAAGATGCAACACTGGTCGGACGCTGAGTTGCAGTTGAAAAGTGATTGAATATTGAATTGAATGCTGTCAACGGTGGTTGATTCCATTGGCAATTTAACTGATGGATGATATCAAAAGCGGAGACCTGATGATATAATGTCCCATCATCAGTAGCCAAGACAGCAGGCTGTGAAGATGCTCGATAAACTGTGTATTATTAACAGATGTTAGTATTTCAGAAAAAAAAAAAAAAAATCTCCCAATTTCTTCATAACCAATACAAAGGGAAAAAAACAGAAAGAGAAACCACAGATGACTTACGGAAAGCTCTTGTTGGGTCCATCAACCTGTAAAGTATGAATGAAACATCAATACGTTATCTGTTTAGTCGGTTTTTATAAAACTTATCCAAAAGTAAGGAAGTGGTATAAATAAACGTTGATTTGTAGCTTTACAATTTCTCATTATAAATGTTTGCAACTATCTTTCCCATATGCAACTATTACCTCAAAATTGTCAAATTTTAAAGAGCATAGGGTATAATGCTTATTAATTCCATATAAAGCACATACAGGGGAGTAATGGAGCCCTAGAGCTCACATAATAATCAACATAAATTAGAATGTAAATGAGGCAAAAAATTAAAACACAAAAAATTTTAATATTTAACAGTATTTCAAACGTAGATCATATTAAAAATAACTAGAGAATTTGCATTAAAAGCTTGCTTACCCTTCCTGCATAGGAAACAGATCCCATTCCTCAAATTCAAGTCCCTCCTGCAAACATCCATAATGATATCAGAATATGCAATAACCAATCATCAAGAACATAAAACCAACTAACCAAACATGAAATAAAAACCAAATTGCAATTGAAGAACAACTAAATCGAGCAATGGAATTAATGGAAAACCTACAGTGTCAGAATAATCTTCCTCAGAAGCTTCTTCATCTGCTCCTTGTCCAGGGATAATCCAAGTGCCACTTTCAGTGGCTCGACACAAGGGGCATCGCATTTCACCAAAAGAATTAAACGTCGAACCAATGCAGTCTAACAAGGAAAAATGAAATGTGAAACAGATGCATAGAAAAACAATATTGTATTGACTCCCAGAATCATGTCAATAATAGAATAGAATTCACACTAAGAATTAACAAATATACATGACAAAAATCATACTAAGGATATCACGAGATTAATTTTTTTAGTATTAATTGAGTGATTGCAAAATCTTGTTAATAAATGAGAAAAATATACTCATGATATGATAACTCTCACTCGCCTAATATAAAAAGATGCTGCAGGTGACATTGAAACTCACCAAGATGGAACTTATGAGAGCATTGGAGGGTTACAATTGTTCTTCCACAGTCTGTAGAAAGCTCATCCCAACAAATGGGACAATTGTCAGTTAAAGAGGACGATGCTGCTGGTGTGGCTGCCATGGTATGATGATCTTAACCTTACTCTGAAAAAGCCTAGATTTTAGAATGGATGGGGAATGGAACAGGGAAAAGGGGATTATAAAGAAAACCTTGCAGCGATGGCCCCTCGCCATTTCTGGAAATGTGGCTGCTGCTTTGGCAGCC